CGGGACACATTAAACATTTTCAGTTGGTAGGAAATTTTGAATTTTTCCCGGGTGGCTCCCGAAGCCTACTCTCGTCGATTTTAGACCACGAAGGAAACTTTAAATTGTTAAAGAGGAAAACAAATGCTGTTTTCTTCTATTTAATTATTTAGACGAGCGCCTGATTTTTTCACCACGATGCCTCACATATTTTTTTGTCTGTCCCCAGCACGGCGCCATCTTAGACCAGCGCGCCATGAAGTCCAAGATGGAGGATTTCTTCAGCCGGTACCGGCAGCGGGCGGAGGCCGTGGCCGCCTACAACAGGTCGCTGCGCCGGTCCTCTCCCCAGCCGGACAGGAAGAAGAAGAAGCGGGCTGGCCTGGGCTCGCTGACCGATGAGAACAGCTTCGTCTATCACAGCCTGCCCGACCCCAAGCAGATCGCTCAGCTACGTCAGCAGCGTGACGTCTCGCACAACGCCAAACCTGACACGTCACGAGGTGGTCTCCGGCCCGGCCACGGCTATCTGGCAAGTCCGGATGTGAGGACGAGTGGCCAGGTGCTAGGGAAGGCCAGCGGCAAACCGTTACCGCCCATAGCCAGGACAGCGTCGTCTTTGGGGAAAGAAGAACTGCCGACGCAGAAAGCTTCAGTACCCGTGAGTTCTCCAGAAAACAGCGTGTCTGGTACACAGAATATGAAGCCTAAACACGCCGTAAAACCGGTGAAAAGCTTGGAGAAAAGTGACCACAAAGGCAACCGACCAATCAAAGACACAGACGACGAGGACGACGACATCCAATCAAAAGCGGCCAGACGACTCAGCGACAGACATGACGGTCTCCGCCAGCAGATGACGTCACAACGGTCGCCTGAACATTCAGCAGACGACGCCAAACTTCTCCCGTCTCTGAGGGAGGACCGAGTGACGTCACGGTCTCGCAGACGGAAAGAACTGGAGGATCTCGGAGCAGCGATTCTTTTATCCCCAGACCACGAGAAGCCGTCAGGCGGGGAGATCCCAGTCGTTCTCTCCAGGGCACCCACCTTAGTGCTTCCTCCGATCCGCCCCACCAAAGACTTGATGAAAAACATGAACGCTTTCTCGGACGCGACCAGGAAGTAGGGAGAAGAGAGTTCGAGATTAAAATTTGTGACTGGCATACCACGCCAGAATACCCTTGCCTTGCCTACCTAACTCATCTCATGTGACGTCTGTGGTCTTGTAGTAAAGCTTTCGGACTCGCAACCGTAAGGTCAGGAGTTTGAATCCCATCAGGGGCCCGACGTTGTGTCTTTGGGAAAGACACTTTACACGAATTTTCCTCGCTTTACCCAAGTGAAAATTGGCACCTGGCTATAGACAGTGAAAGATCCTGTCGGTTTGTTAGTATTTAAGCATTTAATTAGCAGCTTGCATTGTGTGCTTTTTGGAAAGCTGAGAATGTTTCTGAGTGGTGCCGGATCTGCTGGGGTTATAGCATAATAAATATTATTGTAAAGCGCACAGAGCATGCTAATAATCATAATAATGTGCGCTATACAAATGCTATTACTTTTCTTATGAAGGTGCCTGGGAAAGTAGGAGTTCGGTTACTGTATTATTAAATTCTGATACTGAATTCTTCTTATATCGGACACATCCCACGATGGTCTAAGGCACTTCAGAACGGAAACAAAACTCATCATTCTGTGTGCTCAGAATCACGTGCATACCTTTTCTTCTCCGCCCATCTCAGTCAATCTTTTCTCACTCTCACTGAGTGATGTTAAAGTGACGTCAGCATTAGGTAACTTTGTTCTTTAATGCTCTCATACACGTTATTACGGCGCTTTCTGGGCTGTTTGGTCATTTACAGGCAGTGTCATCAATAGTCTTTTCCGAACCTTTCATCATCAATGGTATTGAAGTAAGGCAAATGGACGACACATTCACATATCGTCAGTAAATTATTTCATTAACCTCTTTTTTCATTTTAGGAATAGTTTGTGTACATTAGTATACAAACATGTATACTAGCAACAAAATAATAAATGGTCGCTTTTAATTAAGAACAAACGGGCTAACCCAGATTTCGGGGGTTCCCAGAAATCTTGACCTACACCAAAAGTAGACATTGCCCTACCTGTAGGAGAAGTTTGGTTTCATTGGTGTGTATATCAAAATTTGGTTTGTATATAGAGAAAACTCTCCTTTTCTTTTAAAGAAACTTAACAAGGGTCCAAAAACTTTACCTTCGATTTTCTCAAAACATCATTTTTCGGGATAGCCCCCTTGTGCTTAGAAATGCCTCTTGACAAGTCTTTGTATTGTCGAAGGGAGAGGACGCAGTGTAAAGTATTTATCTATACCCGTCTATTTCCCTTTGTACCAAAGACGCAACTTGTTTTTTCTGATACAAATCTATTTTTTTTTCTTGTTTTGTTTTCTGTTCTTGGTGTCATAATATTGTTTACCACGGTGGGAGGTCGGCGGGCGCTCTCGTGTGGTTTGCTCCTTTTTTCTTGTAAAAAAAAATCTGTCGTCCTTATCTCTCCTCCTTTATTTTTTGCATGTTATTCTCTAGGAACACCTCTATTCTCTTCGGCATTTGTATTATTATTATGATTATTATGATGATGATGATGATGATTATTATTATGATTATGATTATGATCATGATTATTATCATTATCATCATTATTATTATAATTATTATTATTATTATTATTATTATTATTATTATTATTATTATTATTGTTATTATTATTATTATTATTATTATTATTATTTTTGTGTCCTATTTGTGTTGCAAGTACTGTAAAACTGTGACCAAGACTAAACCTATCGTTTCCCCTGCTGGGCTCACAGTTTCAGTTCATTTCGTGTCGTGATCTACTTGTGGGTAGTTGGTTCATTTCGGGAAATGTAATCGAGAACCTCTTATTTGACATTGAAGAAGAAAACTAGGACAGGCCGAGGTGTGAGCCACGAACTCACTCAAACACACACACACACACACACACACACACACACACACACACACACACACACACACACACTCACACACACACACACACGTGTGCCACGGACTCTCTCAAACACACACTCACACACACACAAACACTCACACACACACACACACACGTGTGCCACGGACTCTCTCAAACACACACTCACACACACACACACACACACACACACACACACACACACACACACACACGTGAGCCACGGACTGTGGAAGACCTCGTGAGCGTGGGTGAGTCGAGAGACAGTAGAGTAGGCGTCCGTGTGAAACGTGAATGTGTGACTTCTCCATGGACATCCTGCAGTTGGTGATTGCAACAACAAGAGCTGGGTGCACAGATTTCAACTACACTACAGCACAGTGAGCTGCCTTTGTTCCAATTCCCATTGTCCGATTGTTTGTTTGTTTGAGGAAAGAGAAGCATGTCCGCGAAGTTCACGGACATAATTATTTACCCGTGGGAAAACATACACGGGGTCTTTACACCACATCAACCTATTGTTGAACGAATAAAATAATGAACCAAGGGGACGTCCAAAGTCGTGTAATTACAAAGTATTTGACTAAATTAATTTTTATGTTGGTGTTTTTACGCGCTGTTCAACACAAAAATGGACTAACGTGTTTCACAAATGTGTGTGTCTCAAGTTTAAAATATAAATTCAAAAAAATTGAGTAACACTCAAAACTTCACATTTTTTTTGGAAAAATCAATGATAACGTATTCCTATTTGTTCATCAAAGAACACATACGATATGTTTAAAACTGACATTGAAAAACAAAACTTAGGGAAGGCGTTGGCTATTTACTGAAACACATACTTCAAAAGTTTTGGAGAAATGTTGAGATGGAGAGAGAGAGAGAGAGAGAGAGAGAGAGAGAGAGAGAAGAGGGGGGGGGGGGGGGGGGGAAGAGGACAAAGGGATATGCTTCTAACCCTTTGAGGATACGTCTGGGACAACGCCAGCAAACAAGCTGTTCTGAACTTCGTTATTCATGTAGATTTTCTCTGTCTGTTTTCTTTATCAGAAACTTTTTGGTGTTTTTTTTGTTTTGTTTTTGGTAAGTGTTTTACGGCACTCGCAACAGCATAAGGTCATACGAGCGCGCGGGACACCAAACATTTTCATTTGGTAGGAAATTTTGAATTTTGCCCGGGTGGCGGCTGAAGCCTACTCTTATCGATTTTGGAGCACAGAGGGATCATTAACGTGCACAACTTGCACAAGGGACCTCTAAGATATTTTGGCCTTGTCCGAGAAGGCTAGGTGTAGGTCTCGGAAGTTTTGATGCAGTCGGTGCAAAGATGACTGACGTATTGCCCTTTTAAAGGGTCCCTTAAAAAAAAAAGAGTTCTGGGTTGACAAACAGACAAAAACAACAAAGTGAAAGTCCCACTCACAGTGGTGTGTTGGAAGTATGTATGTATGTATGTGTGTGCACAGTGGTGTGTTGGAAGTATATATGTATGTATGTGTGTGCACAGTGGTGTGTTGGAAGTATATATGTATGTGTGTGCACAGTGGTGTGCTGGAAGTATATATGTATGTGTGTGTGTGTGTGCACAGTGGTGTGTTTGAAGTATATATGTATGTGTGTGCACAGTGGTGTGTTGGAAGTATGTATGTATGTGTGTGCACAGTGGTGTGTTGGAAGTATATATGTATGTGTGTGCACAGTGGTGTGTTTGAAGTGCATGTATGTAATATGTCATCTATGCGGTCCCGTGGATCTCTGTTAGTGTAGCATCCGTTGTCATTAGTGCCTCCAACTGCATGTATGTGTGTGCACAGTGGTGTGTTTGAAGTGCATGTATGTGTGTGCACAGTGGTGTGTTTGAAGTGCATGTATGTGTGTGCACAGTGGTGTGTTTGAAGTGCATGTATGTGTTTGCACAGTGGTGTGTTTGAAGTGCATGTATGTGTGTGCACAGTGGTGTGTTTGAAGTGCATGTATGTGTGTGCACATGTTTTCGCAGTGCTCATTTTGGTGCATCGACTTTACATTTCCAGTATTTGTAGTATATAATATGCATGTATATGTGTGCTTAAGAATGTATGCATTCATGTATTTTAGAAATTTTGTACTTTTGTATTTTTGTATGAAATATATCATATGCCATGCCATTGTAAACCAAAGCTTCCCACGGGGACCATTAAAGTATTATTTATTAATTAATTAATTAATTAATTAATTAATTAATTAATTAATTAATTTTATTTGTTCTTCTCGTGACTTAGACATTTCTAATTCGTGAAGTCTCTCATGGATTTCTGTCCTCTGTGATTGCTCCTCCCCAGCTATCAGGAGATAGTCTCTCCCATGTCTCCAGCTATCAGGAGACAGTCTCTCCCATGTCTCCATCTGTCAGGAGATAGTCTCTCCCATGTCTCCATCTGTCAGGAGATAGTCTCTCCCATGTCTCCATCTGTCAGTCTCTCCCATGTCTCCATCTGTCAGGAGATAGTCTCTCCCATGTCTCCATCTGTCAGGAGATAGTCTCTCCCATGTCTCCATCTGTCAGGAGATAGTCTCTCCCATGTCTCCATATGTCAGGAGACAGTCTCTCCCATGTCTCCATCTGTCAGGCTCTCCCATGTCTCCATCTCAGGAGATAGTCTCTACCATGTCTCCATCTGTCAGGAGATAGTCTCTCCCATGTCTCCATCTGTCAGTCTCTCCCATGTCTCCATCTGTCAGGAGATAGTCTCTCCCATGTCTCCATCTGTCAGGAGATAGTCTCTCCCATGTCTCCATCTGTCAGGAGATAGTCTCTCCCATGTCTCCATATGTCAGGAGATAGTCTCTCCCATGTCTCCATCTGTCAGTCTCTCCCATGTCTCCATCTGTCAGGAGATAGTCTCTCCCATGTCTCCATCTGTCAGGAGATACTCTCTCCCATGTCTCCATCTGTCAGGAGACAGTCTCTCCCATGTCTCCATCTGTCAGGCTCTCCCATGTCTCCATCTGTCAGTCTCTCTCATGTCTCCATCTGTCAGACTCTCCCATGTCTCCATCTGTCATGAGATAGTCTCTCCCATGTCTCCATCTGTCAGGAGATAGTCTCTCCCATGTTTCCATCTGTCAGGAGACAGTCTCTCCCATGTCTCCATCTGTCAGGAGATAGTCTCTCCCATGTTTCCATCTGTCAGGCTCTCCCATGTCTCCATCTGTCAGGAGATAGTCTCTCCCATGTCTCCATCTGTCAGGCTTTCCCATGTCGAGGGATCTAATATCGAAGTCTTTCAGACTTTCAGAGACATTTTCAGGATGTCTTTACAGTGCTCGGTTTGGTGCACCGACTTTACATTTTTAAAAAGAATACTGTCTCTGGGATTGTGAAATCAGGCTTTCCTAAAATAGGTAGGAAGACGTTACATTTACATGGTTACTGAAGTAGAAGAGCCCGGAAAATAATAATATTCAGTCCGGTGTCCCAAAGAGAAATTGGTCTCTTTTAAGGACAAGCGGGTTAACCCAGATTTCGGGGGTTTCCAGAAATCTTGACCAACACCAAAAGTGGGCATTGCCCTACCTATAGGAGAAGTTTGGTTTCATTGGTGTGTATATGTGTTTGGTTATAGAGAAAACTGTCCTTGTCTTTTAAAGAAACTGAACAAGGGTCCAAAAACTTTACCTTCGATTTTCTTAAAACAGCATTTTTCGGGATAGCCCCCTTGTGCATAAAAGCGACCACTTAAGTGTGTGGGTTGAACGCCCCTATCAGCACAACTACGGTATTGAAAAGGTGGGGGCTCCGAGTTCAGAGTCCCTCTCCGATTAGATCAAGCCAAATGGGGCCGAGAGCCTTGACAACTCGACAAAACGACCTGTGTTCAAGAACACCATCAAGTGTCAGATCTGCCACAGACATAGGGGATCATGGGTCTCCGTTCATTCCTACAGTCATATATGCTTCTTTAAAAACCAGATCCGCTCGCCATGGGGTCATTTTGTGCCCCCAGGATTGTATTCTTCACATTTAAGAATACTTCTTGTCATGTACGAAGATCTCTTTGAAACTTTATGTATTTCTAAAAAATAAAACAAAAATTTTGACAGATTGCTCTGCAAAGCGTATGGATCGGATTAGCGAGAAAATTTTCTCTTTGGAAAGTGGTGGCACAGAGTTCCCCACGTCGTATGGATACGATAGTAAAACACGACGTAGGGATAGGGTTAAAAACCTACATTATTCTGATCTGGTGCCGCCTCCCATCTGTTTAGGCTCTCCAAGTAGGTTGCTTTGGGTCTGCCTCTGTCTTGTTTGCCTTCAGTTTTACCAACGAAAGCTATAGATTCTATATTATTATGTTGTAGGCTTTTATGCCCATCCAAGTGTCCTAGAGACTGTACTTGTCTTTTCTTCTGATTGTTTCAGAGAGAGAGAGAGAGAGAGAGAGAGGGGGGGGAGGGA